TTATTATTTTGATATATACGTAATTTTTGGATTGCGCACGTCAGTCTGTACCTATCTGATACTTGTTACGAACTTTGTGTGCTATTGTATATATATATATATATCTGGCCTGCAAACGGCCAAGACAATAGCGGTCAACACGACTTCACATAACTCACGCCCCCTTCATACTCCTGACAGCCTGAATTCCACTCGAGCGGCTACATTGAATGCGCATAAATATTTATGGACGGTGGACATTGCTGGGCTATCTGAATATGGAAGCCCAAGTATAAGGAACGAAGTGTTGTAGGTGGTCCATTGCAATGCACTGTGCGCTGGGGATAAGCTGCATTTGTGTAAATAGTGCATCTCTCTATGAGTCTTTATATACTTGTCTCGCCCTATCTCTCTCTATTGACTCATCCTTTACGAAAACTGGAAATGTATTTTACATTCTGGGACTGTCCGTGACGAATTTCACTTTGTGCTCGACTTTCACTCTTAATTTGCACGTGATTCTTGTCTCTGCTCTCTTTCATTGGGCAGACGGTTTTTTCTTCTCGTTCGATACGGTTCTGCGGAGTGAATATTTTTTTTAGAAATTTTTATCCTCACCAGGAGGGGGCACTTGTCGACTTTTTGAAAAGAATTAAAAATGAGGGCTCTTGTGCTACGTGAATTTAATTTTCTGTCACATGTGTGTTACGTGAGACTTTTCGAAATGGTCGAATCGGTATGTTAAAAGTGATGGTATTTTTTTTTTATAGGATTAAGGAGAAACAAGTAACAGTAAATTGATCGATGACTGTATATATGGAATATTCTGGAAGTTATCGTAATTTTCGTGCTTTAATTTTGAATAGAGAGTAATTAAATACAGTATAGGTTATTCGTTAACGAAAAGGATGAACGTTTATTATCTTCGAACGTAGCAATTATTGGTTCACCGTAGTAGAACATCTGTCAGTGATTTCCGTGTTCCAGTATATTTATTAGGCGTGCCAGACAGTGAGGCAGGTCAGGAATGTTTCGCTGGCAGTTGGGGTAGGTCCGGTACACGATTATGACATATATTACATTTATTAATTTAATAATATTTTTTAAATACATAAATCAACCTGAACAGCACTGTCTTAAAATGTTAAAAAATAATGAAGCACTGCTACAATTTTTTGAAACTCAATTTTCATCCGTTAAACTAATATAAGAATAATGAGGTTTCTAAATTTTTTCGAAAAATCATAAGTCCCATTGAGTTGCCATTAACTTTTTGTTTTCCTATTTCCCAAAAAATCAGGATCGCGTCTGAGTTTAAAAATATCTGAAAAAAAAAATTTTGAAATCTACGCGCACGTACGTGGCTTTTGTACGCTAGAAGACACTTACGGTAGAGACAGTAACTAATATACTTCCTGTGCACTTCGAAACGGGACGCTGCTATTCTAGCAAAACACATTTAGCTAACTCGAAGCACGTTTTTCCGAGTACCTCGTTACTAAACGGACCCCTTCGCGGGCCATTTATAATAAAACGCACGTGTCCGACTGACGTTGACGTATAAAAAAAAATTGGACCAATTTTAGTTATTACCTGACGAAATAAAAATTTCTTAAAAATTTTTCTACTCCTAATGCAATTGAATATCATCGAAAGACCATTCCCAGAACTATAACCCATTGGCATTAAATACGAACGATTGATATTATACTTGACGTAATATACAAGAGTGTCTATCACGACTCTAATAGACAGATAATTTCCAATGTAGGATCGACACTCTATAAGCCTACCGAAAAGGTATCCATCACGCTCAGCCACCAGTTCCACGTAATATTAATTCCTCGGCTCGTCCTTTTCTCCGCTGTCGGTAGTCTTTCAATACTCAAACGTTGTGAGAGCATTAGAAGTTAATCCACAGGCGTCTTCTATGAAGAGTCAAGAAGTCCCGGTGAAAGACACGAAAGGGGACTTCAAGCCAGAGACATTTGAATACCCGACTATCACGAGCTCTCTCGACCAGTTATACGAGTGCGATGATTCACGAAGTAAAAAAAAAAATTTCAAAAAATTTTCAAAATCTCACAAGTTAAAAAAACGCGTACAAAAATATTTTTGAACAATTTTTCAAAAATTATATAGCACATGGGTATCAGGAATAATTTTTTTTTCGATTGGCCACACTGCTTCCTCGAGCAAGACGAATGATATTCCATCAAGAGTCATAAAGGAACGAAGAAGACAATAGCTAACCTACGTACGTACGGTTAGATTTACTTGATGGCGTCTTTCGGATTGACGTGACGCACAACGTCGGACTCGACGTCTCAGGCCTAAAGGACACGTAGGAAACATTTAGTTCCGATTATGTTTCATTGTAGAAAGGTGACGTACGGTCTGGTATATACCTCGGCAGGAAAGTAGAGCACCATTAGAATGTTAAGGCATGCGCATACATTAGGAGCTGGGTGAGATGCAGTGAGCGGTCACTCTGTGTCGGTAAACCAAAGGAGCGGGTCTCTTCCTCACCGACGCTCCGTACGCTGGCCGCTAAAGTACGCTCCTCGCCAGTGCTCCGATCCTTTCTGTCCATAGTTCCATCGATCCATCTTCCGGACGTACCTGACACGCGGACAAGCGAAAGAGAAATGTCCCGGACACTCGAGAGCTTTTTCAGCTTAACACCTTGTGACCGGCTACATGAACTTCTATCCAGGTTTACGAATCGACCGTTGCTCTTCTTGCCGGACGAATCATCGGCATGGAGAATTTTCATAAAGTACGGTATTAAGGTGCGTTCACAAGATGAGAAAAAAAAATTTTTATCGCACACAGAAAACTGTATAAATTTTTGATTTATCGTAAAATTTGAAAAATGCAATTTTTTTTTTGGATTGGGATTGGATAAAGGATTGATTGAATTGTGGGTAAATTTTTAGGCTGTTTTGAGGTTAAATTTCATTGTGTTGTCTATACTGGGTTGTACTGGGGTTTATGCTGTTAAAGCACTGACAGGACGGTGTGAACCCCTGCTGTCCACGATTGCACCCCTGCTGATAGGATAGACACCCCCTCCCGTGGTAGACGATCAAATGCTGTCCAGTTCAATTACATGAGAAATTATGTAATTTCGTTTCTAAGGACTGGTAAGGCAGATCTGGCCAATCAGAGGGTTTCTTCACGAGAAATTGATTTTTCATGGGGATAAGTCCGCTGGGCGCCGCTACTCGATTTACGTTAAGGTACGATTCAGTGAGCGATTAGCGTCGGGACGTTTGAAATTATTTTTTTGACGTTGACGTTTAATTAGAAAAAATAATAAATGTCACTTCCATCCGAAACAGGATGTATCTACAAAGATTTATTTGAATTATGCGGATTTGACTCGTATAACTTATTAAAGTAAAATCTTGATATTTAGGAAAGAAATGAAATTTTGGTCTTTTCGTGCGAGAAGGTATTCCTTCGAAATTTTTTTTTTTTATCCACCTACGGACCAAACTCAAAATTCACGCAGTTAATCAGTCTGCGACTGGACGCGAGAAACATTTTCTTCGCTTGATAATTGATGCCCTGTAAGCTAATACGAAACGCGATACGAAATCTATCGTGTTGACTGAACTTTTGGGTACGGTACTATATATTGTACGGCAGCGAACGTTAGATAGGTGTAAATATTAGTGTAGCGTAGTAATGCGGGCCAGAAAAGGTCACCAAGGTGAAGTCCTCCTCTCACGGCATATCCCATAGAACCAAGAGACCAACCTAGAAGGATACTGCCCGCTGACTGGTATGCGTCAGTCAAACGGGTTAACTAGCTTCAGACACTATACACTGCTAGGGTATACTGTAAGTTTTTCGACAGTACAACGGGTGTCGAAAAATTCGATCGAAATATTTAATAAAAATTTTCTATTAAAATAAATGACTTTCACCATTTTTTTAATGCCGTCCGAATAATCGCAAGCATGCAGTTCGAATTTGAGTATCAAAACTTCTCTTTGATATCAAAATCAGTAATCCGTAATTTCGATATCCACAGCACAATCTCAGACAGAATAATCCGCATATCCAATTAACTAGTTTTGCCAAAGGCTTGTAAACTAGGTCAAGCGATTCATCTAATTACCTGGTATTAGTCCTGTTTGTCGTTAGTTCCAAACGAGACACCCGGTATGTACGTCGCTCCTCTCATAATCCAATGGACGCTTGTGGATTGCTGAGATTAGGATCTACAGGACGCGCGAGAGAGCGTCCCGACGTCTTGGACTGGGAGGGACGTCGGGTCGCTCCGAGTTTATTTTGTATTTCGAGTTTTACGAATGCCCGATAGATTCGTCATGATCAACTCTGGGTATTTTGTTAAGGATACGACTCGGCGCGTATAATCGCCATTGATGAATTTTTTTTTAATTGTTTTTTTTTTTCAAAATTTGTATCGCGACTGAAAAGATAAGATAATTCGTGTAGAGTTATGTTTTTTTATTATTTTATTAATTATGACGTCATAGTCTCAAGGTCATGCCATACGGTTATTTTTACAGATTGTAATAATTTTTTTTTTTTCATCGTTTCTTCTTATCTATCCACTTCGCAATTCTCTTTGCAATTCCAGTCTCTGTATACCTTATCTCTGATTTATGCAAAATGCCCGACTCGAACTCGCACTCCGAGTATATTTCCAGTTCGTTATTCATATGCGTACTTGGTATGCATTAAAAACTTTACAGCTTTCACTGTGGGTAAACGGGGTGTGATAAGGTAGAGGGGAGATGAACGGAAGGGAAGTGTTAGCAACAACTGTGATAACAAAAAAATATTTTGACAAAAAGATGACATTACCGTGTACATATATATTTTCAGGTGCAACGTATAACCTTTAAGTTCAACAGGTAACCGAGCAAGTGACGTGTAATTAAGTAATTGATAATTTAAAGAAAAAATATATATTCTTTATAACCAGTTAATTTATTTACGATGAAAAAAAATTTCATCCGTATATTTTATACGTCTGACTCGTGATGAAATAAAAAAGTGATATTAAAAAAAAAATAAAGACATTTCATCCAACTCCATTCACAATGGACCGTCCAATGATTTCAGAGTCGACCTTTCCATTCGCGAGAGGTCGATTCGCACGTCAGATTTTATCGATACTCGTCACGGAGCCTCGAGAAATCCAATGTGGGAATCTTATAAGAAGAAAAATGATCCGTCGGTAACGTCGGGAGTGATTGGTACCGACCCACATCCATAAGGGATGCACCGGTCGGAATAAATAATTTCGGCATAGAGATCGGCAAAGGCACTAATCGATTTGTTTTACAAAGATCGACCGCGTCGTATGACGTTACGCAAAGGCGACGAGACTCCAGCCCGACAGGATCTCAAAGATCCAGGGAATGGACCGATCGCGCAGTCAGTGGCGTCTACGGATGCTGCAACCAAACGCAGGCAGTCTGATCTATTAAAGATGCCGAAACAGATAAGCTCCGAGTAATAAAAATAAAAGGATAAAATCCAATCCAAAAAGAAAAAACCCTATACAAAGTGACCAGGACCAATGATCGGTAACGAAGTACGCATAATCTAAAAAAAAAATCTATTCAAAATCCAATCATTCAATTTCCAACCTCTCATGATCAAACACGTCGTCCCACTGTCAAGAAGGTATTTAAAAGAAATGCCCACCGACGCATTTCAAATAACGCAATCTCAACGACAGTGGTCCAGTATCTCCGAGAAAGGTAGAATATTTCGAGAGGGATGAGTTATTCTTCTCGAGATCAAGCAGAAGCAGTACGAACGGTAAGGACAGGACTCGTAAGGATGAAGGCGCGCGCCGCGGTGGCGGCGTCCTGGCAATCAACTTACGCATCACTGACCCGTCATCCCCGTTCGAGCTTCTCGACTCCTCTCATTCTCCTTCTGGGTTTCGGCTTCCATCCATTTCTCAGCGTTGTCCAGCAGGCGTATATGTATATGCTCCTTTTTTGTTCCTGACGAAGAAGTATACGTATATTCTGAGACCTCAATCCATATATATATGTATATATACAATGAGCACACGTAATAATCTACAACGTCTTCTGCGCCCCTAGCGGACGTTTGCTCAAACTCAGGTGGATAACTCCGCGCCGCCAGTTCGGCTTTTCTCCACAGCGGTCGCGGAGAGACAGATATCATCGACAATAAATATGTAGCACGTACGAATAGACGGATTGACGTGGCCTGGCTCGAGGCGATACTGCATTATGTATACGCATCCTGCGAAGAGAACTAGTGGGAAACGTGTGGACCGACTACGGGGCGAGAGGCTGCTGCTGTTGGCATTACCGTTTCCACCACCACTATCCCTGACTAGTATGGCCCGGAGGACGAAACTGGAACGATTCTGTATGGCTGGTAGCTGCTGGGAGAAGCACGGCTTGGGATTACCTACGAACGGTGAATTATGGCAGCCACGTGTGACATCTGCGCGCCCTCTATATGATCGTTCAACCTTCTGGAGATGCGGCTGTGCTTCTCTTACTATACTCTCGATTGATGGTCTTGTTTTCAACGGACGCTCACGTGCCACAGGGAATTGCATAGACGGTGCGAGAATTATCCTTCCGGTTTGAGAAAATTTTTCCAAAATTTATACGAAAATTTTTTCTTTCAGTATAAATGCTGATGCGATTAAAAATATATTTGCGACGAATATTTATTTGTTTTTCTTTATTTATATTTTGTGGATTGTAATGAGTGTGAATATTATATGTATTTATTTATTGTTGGAGTAATCTACGACCTGGGTGGTCATTGAGTTGTGTTCAGAATCATTTCACTAGGATAAAAGTGAAAGGATATCGGGAACTGTCGTGTTGTCATTAATATTCTTGAATAGTCACCATCCTGTTATCACTCCGGTCTCTTTATAACGATTTCTTTTTTCTTTCGTTTTTTTGTCCTTTCCTTTTCTACCCATCTCTTATCCACATCCTCAACACGTGTTTTTCCAGTCAGCAGCTAGGGAGGCCCAGGACCTCGACTCTTAATCATTAGCATTCTTTATGGCTGTTCTTACGTCCCTTTTGCCACGAAGGCATAATCGTAAAAATGGGGTTATCACGTGGAGTGACTCAACTGCCTCGCCAGATTCAAAGCAATATTTGTCTTGTAATCTGTGAAAACATCGAAGGAGACTTGTGGACTCTGTGACAATATACATTAATAATGCTTTTATTGAATTACCGATGTTGATTTATTGGAAATTAATTACTTTTAAAAAAACAATTTTATATACGTAAACCGTACAGGTGGGTCGTCGACGTCCTTGACAGATGTTTATCGTTTACCACTTGCTAATCAATTAACGAATTTCTGCAGGCCTGTGGCGTTGCAGTGCCCCCACCTCAATACTAATTTCCAAACAGTCATGAACAGAGGAAATAAAAATTTCGAAAATATGTGTTTTAGATATTTCGTGAATGTCATTATTCCTACATATGACAATGATTTGTGGTATATGCATGATTACAGAAATTTTTGGATAAACACCTGTGAAGATGCACTTGAGCTGCCGACACTGGTCTTAGAACGTTGTTCAGTAATTCGACCTGACGAAGTACGATCGAGTAAAAGTCATACTGGTTAATCAGGTAGGAACAATATTTTTGAAAAAATTTATTCTATGCAGTTTCGTTTGTTAACGCAAACAAGAAGTTTGATTTTTTGTGTATATATGTATAATAAAAGTTGAAAAATTTTTTTCCGGTTACTTAAAATTAGAAAAATTATTCTGATTTGCCAAGATGGGCTCGTTTGTGCTGTTTGGAATATTCATGTCCGTTTTGTTAATTGGTAAGTTCTTAATTGTTACATAATTAATAGTATACAGCAATTGACGAGGAAAAATGAAAAAAAAAATATATTTTTTTTAGTAAACACACAGGACTGCGTCCCACGCGATTTTGGGAACGGGGGTACCGTCTGTGTTTGCAATTCTACATATTGTGACGTCACACCGGATCCAATTTTACCGGAAACAGGAAATCTTTTGCGATACGTCTCCAGCAAAAATGGTCTAAGGTTGAATCTGATTGAAGAAAAATTTAGTAATCAAAGTATCGGCGACGTGAAATTAATTTTAAATCGAAGTATCATGTATCAAACCATACATGGATTCGGCGGAGCATTTACGGACTCGGCTGGAATAAATATAAAGAACTTGAGTGCGGGTGCTCAGGATAAATTAATGGAGTGAGTAGTAATTAAATTTTTATAATCGTTATAAAAAATAATCAATTTTTATTATCCTAATTTTTTTTCTCAGATCGTACTTTAGTACCAATGGGAGCAAATACAGCTTCGGTAGAGTACCGATTGCTGGGACTGATTTTTCCACACGTAGTTACACATATGACGATGTGCCAGGGGATACGACCCTTTCGAAGTTTTCCTTAGCACAGGAAGATTTTCTTTACAAAATTCCTCTGATACAAAAAGCACTCGAGTTGAATTCAAATCTGCGACTTTTCGCATCTTCTTGGACAGCTCCGCCATGGATGAAAACGAACAACCAGTATAATAAATTTGGTAAAAATAATTTTATCGTATAATTTTATCAATTTGTTGGAATCTAAACCGAAAAAAAAAAATTTTTTACAGGATTTCTTAAAACGGACTATTATCAAACGTATGTGGATTATTTGATAAAATTCTTAAAGGAGTACAAAAAACATGGTTTGGAAATGTGGGGTATAACAACCGGAAACGAACCGTTTAATGCATTTATCTTCAGCTCTATATCCAATACGGGTTGGACAGCTAATACATTGAAGAAGTGGATTGCCAAAAATTTAGGACCGACCTTACGGGCTTCGGAATTTAAAGGCACAAAAATTATGGCTGTTGAAGATCAACGATGGGCCTTACCATGGTTTCCTCAGAAAATCTTTCGTAATGAAATTGTTAAAAATTACACCGATGCAATTGCATTTCATTGGTACGTCGACAAATACATCCCTGCCTCGGTCCTTGACATGACACATGATAAATTCCCTGATAAATTTATCATTATGACGGAAGCATGTATAGGTCGGTATTCATATTTATAAAATATTTTTTTTCTTGGGTAATCAATAAAATTTTTTTTTTCTAGGATCTTCTCCCTTTGACGGTGCTAAAGTACTTATAGGATCTTGGTCACGCGGGGAAGAATACGTATCCAACATAATTGAAGTACGTCAATATTTGATAAAAATCGATTAATATTTAATAATCCATATTAATTGCTCAAATTTTGATATTCTTTGTATGATCTACAATATAATATAAATAGTGCTAATTTTTATTTTTCTTATAAGGCGTTCGATTTTTTTTTTTTTTTAGAATTTATCTCATTGGGTTACCGGATGGGTCGATTGGAATCTTGCTCTTAATGAGCAGGGTGGTCCAAACTGGATTGAAAATTACGTTGATTCACCGATAATAGTCAATGCCGAAAATGATGAATTTTACAAGCAGCCAATGTACTACGCGTTGGCTCATTTTAGTAAATTTATTCCACCTAATTCAAGAAGAATTGAACTCACTGCCAGTACTGACGTAAAGTCTCTGTCTGTTACGACTCCAAACGATGAAACAGTCATTGTGCTCTACAACAAGTGAGTATCCAATATGATATATACGGAAAGCAATTTGTTTTTTGTAATTACCATTTTTTTTTTTAATTTTCGAAAAATTAATATTTTTCAATCCACATAATATTATTATTATTTTGTTGTTTCAGGAGTCGCCGTGCAAAGACTGTGTCGATAAGCGATCCCGATAGAGGTTACATAAATGCAGAATTACCAGGAAATTCTATACACACTATAATATACAAATGACAATTTAACTATATATATATAGCGTAACTATATCAGAACATCAATCTAATATACAACATAGACAAAATCCTTTTTATTAAAATAATTATAACGTACTGATATCCATTATTATAGTATATATACAACTATATATACATATAAATATATATATATGTATTCATACATAAATATTAAACAGAGAAATCAAAATCATTCCCATTTATAAAAATAACTCAAAAACCCAAACCATCGAATGGAATCTCCCAAAATCAGAAAGAAACTATAAAGATTACAATCACAAACCCGCACGTGGATTAATCTTTCAGAACGTAAAATCGATAAATCTTTCTCATCTTCACATGGGAAAGTCCCTAAATCAGAGACTGGTGAACGAAAGAAAAAAATCTGTGTATTGCATTAAAATTGTGTGACAAAAAATTCCAATGAAAAAAGTAAAAAAAAAATTGATAATTAATAAATATTTATAAAAAAAACTTTTTATCCCTAAGTCGCTACGCTGATATGAAATTGGTTGGTCATTCGTGTTGAGGGTATAAGCATAGTACATGTATAAATCTATATTGTGAGTAAAGGTATTCTACAAGGGATGTTATCTGAAACAAGTAAGGAAGTTCCTGACGTTTCGGACTTTCGTGCACCAGAAACAAATGTATTAACTAGTCAGGTTAGAATGCTGCCAAGGCCCGAAGCCGTTTACGTAACCAATCTACATAAATTCTCGAAGCTGTATTATTAGAGAGGGCGCCTTGCGGATTTGCAACTATGTTATCATACAGATTGCGCGGCGTGGTTTGTTGCTGCTGTTCTAGGTGCACGGCCAAGAACTAATTCCTTAGCAAATACTTGGAAGGTTATATATCGGACAGAGATGACTAGGGAGATGCACAACGCTATGGTTTTAGGCGATACCAAAATAATGCGCTAAATCGTAGCAGCGAGTCTGGAAGTAGAATTTTGTGATCATCGCCTCTGTCGAGAATGCGAATCCCGTCGCAGCCGAGCTGAACGTGAACACGAACGCGTAACTTGGCGGGCAGAAGTTCTTCGCTACGCACTGCTGTTTCCCAAAGGAACCCTTGGAACGAGACCGCGAACTATAGAACTTTTCAAGAACTATTGAAAAAGCCGATTGTTGAAACATTTTTAAGACATTTTAAAGAAATTGCGGTACCAACTTGACGTTCGTGTAACACTTCATTTTTAAAAAATGTTTCATCACTTGACTGCACTTGGCCCTCTATGAGGGCATAAAGCCAAAAAGGAATAAGAAGAAGGAAGAGAGAAGAAGAAAAAGTTAGCTGCACAGGAATATTGAAAATTCGAAACATTGAATAAAGCTTTCCGAATACTACTAAATATTATTGGATCTTGATTTACTTACAAAAATTATTCAAAATATAAAATTGAGGCTGAATCAAAATCTCGCAGAATATACGCAGTAGATAAACATTGAATTGAAATTGTAGAATATCGAAAATAAATTACGTTCAAATTGAAATATTAATAAGTTAGGTGTTTGGAATATTAAAATAATTAATTAAATCAATGAAGTAAAATATTAACACTTAGAAATCGTAAATTCTGGCCATGCATATTTAGAAGTACTGAAAATTGCCCAAAATTGTGTGCGCGCAAATTCGTCGCGCAGGACTCCAGGAGTAGGAGCAGGCGGAGAGAGGGGGGAGCGTTTAAGGCAGTGTCCGGACTCGGAGAGCTCATTCTTCCTTGAGCCGGTCTCCTATACTGGTCTCTTGGAAACACACCTCTTATCCATTTCCAACCTTCCTCTTCTTCTATATTTATTTCATCTTTAATTTCTTATTTCTTTATCTGTCGTTCTTCACTTTCTTATTTATCTCTTTCTTCATTTCTTCTCCACTTTTATAACTCTATTCCTTAATTTTCTACTTCTTTATTTCTATCTTCATTTCTTTCTTTTCGTTTCGCTTTGTTCCCTCTCGCTTTCCATTGTATTTATCTTACTTTTCCTATTCCTTTGGTCGGGTCGAGCATATTCATTTAAGTAGTCATATAAGAGTAGTCACCCTGTTAGTGCAGCTAGACTTAAGACCATGGTGTCGGGGGTTGCCCTTCCGCCTCATCCGCTGAGCTTGCTCAGTGGGTCGGGCCCAAGTTGTGGCCGCAACAGGACCTTATGGGTCTCCCGACGGGGGCCTTGAGCCCCCAGGCCTCGGAGAGGTTGTAGCTCCCTTGTGGAGAGGCAGGACCTCACGGAAATGGGCGGGGTGGGGCCCATTTCACTCCCTTATACTTCCTACTTTTCCTACTTTTTCCACTGTTCTCTTTTCTCGCTCCTCCAGAATAATCTGGTCTTCGTGCATATGTTTTAACAAACTTCTTCTCCTTTTGTTCCCTCAGTCATGACCATCTTTCTTCTTCACTCTTTCTTTTTAACAACCTTCCTCTTTTTCCCTTCAACATCTTCCCTGTCTGCTACCACCGAACGTTTCTACTCAATTTTCGAATCTCCTATTCCTTACTATGTCTCCATCACTCTTCTCCTGGTATGTCCTTAAAAACTAAGTTGTTAAAAAGGCCTTTGGAAAAGGAAAATCCTATAGTGGTAGCGCATACCACGTGTATATTATACTGCAGTGATATATTTAAAATATATCTCTAATGGCATTGTTATTACTAATCTTTCGCATACCGTATATGTATATCTGTACTCTGTATATTGTATCATTATTGTGTTTGTCCAATAAATTATCTTTAAACACTTATGCACGTTGATATTCTTTTGCCGTATGCAAATATTCCAGAGTATGAATGAGTTCTGTCTCTTTCTTACACTCCTCCGTCCTAACAGCATTCTCCTCGTCCCTTATGTTTCGAAAACCATTTTCAGCTGTGCTCCATTTTCCGTTCCATCTCTGTCATATTATCCATATCTTGACTTCGCTTTTCTTCATCAATACTACCTTCTATGATAAAATGATTTCAAATGTAATTGGAAAATCGCATCGTTGAAACTTTAGTGGTTCAATTCTTATTAAAGAATTCGCATTAGTTCGAATTTTGCCCGATAAGGGGGCAGCACCTCCTGGACAAGATAGGTGGCGCCATCTCTGAGACAACTAGTGAAGTTTTGCTGGGAAAATCGGCATTTTGAAGCGCCCCCTATAGTTGATATGCGGAACTAAAATTTGTAAGATTTGCTAGGAAAATCGGCATTTTGAAGCGCCCCCTATCGCTGATATACTGAACTAAACTTTACAAGATTTTCTAGGAAAATCGGCATTTTGAAGCGCCCCCTATGGTTGATATGCGGAACTAAAATTTGTAAGATTTTCTAGGAAAATCGGCATTTTGAAGCGCCCCCTATCGTTGATATACGGAACTAAAATTTGTAAGTTTTTCCCAGCAAAAGTTCTCTCGTTCTCTCAGAGATGGCGCCACATATCATGCCCAGGAGGTGCTGCCCTCTTATCGGCAAAAATCAAACTAATGCGAATTCTTTAATAAAAATTGACCCACTAAAGTTTCGATGCTGCAATTTTCAAACTGCACCCGGAATCATTTTATTTTAGAAGGTAGTATTGATGAAGGAAAGCAAAGTCAGGATATGTGTAATATTGCAGAGATGGAATGGAAATAATGGCAGAGAAAATGGAGCATAGCTAAAAAGGGGTGTCAAAACATAAGGGAGAAGGAGGAAGAGAAGGAGAAGGATGCCGTTAGGACGGAGGAGAGTAAAAGGGAGACAGAACTCATTCGTACTCTGGGATATTCGCAGAGGGCAAAAGAATATCAACGTGTATAAATGTTTAAAGATAATTTATTCGACAAACGCAATAATGATACAGTATACAAAGTACAGACGTATATTTACAGCCCCCGAAATATTGGCAATAACAATGCCATTAGAGATATATTTTAAATATATCATTGCAATATTTTTTTTCCAAAGAACTTTTTAAAAACTTATTTTTTAAGGATACACTAGGAGGAGAGGGATGGAGACCTGGGAAAGAATAGGAAACTTAAAAAATAGAATGGAAACGTTTGATGACAGCAGCCAGGGAAGATGTTGTTGAAGGGAAAATGAGGAAGATTTTGAAAAAGAAAGAGTGAAGAAGAGAGATGGTAAGGACTGAGGGAACAGGGAGAGAAGAAGATACGTAAAACGACCAGCTTATTCTGGAGGAGCGAGAAAAGAGAATACTCGTAGGAAGTACAAGAGAGCGAAATGGGGTCCTCGTCGCCCATTTCCATGGATTCGCATAGTCGACGGAGGCGATGATCATATAATTACACTTGAAGACTCATTGCTACGATTTAGCGCAATGATTTTGGTATCGCCTGAAACCGTAGCATAGTGCATTTCCCTACTCATCTCTGTATCGGATGACGGTGGATATCGACTAGACTATCGCCCCGCAACGGCGAATCGTAGTAAGCTGGTCACGAGCGCCGGAGAAATTTAATTACGCAAAGTTTCTCAAAGCTGATCCGAAAGCCGAGAAACGACGCCAGTCGTCGAGACGCGTCGTGATTTGGCGTCGGAAAATGTGAAAAAAAAGGATTAGGATACTCGTGATTCAAATTTCTTTTCTTCCTTCTAATTCCATTAATTTTTGAATATCGCTGTTTTTTTTTCGTAATTTTTTGCACAATCTTTTTGGCATTATTCCATCCAGACGTTTTAGAACTTTTCTCGGTATAATCAATCTTTAAGTAAATTCATGTATACCGGGTAGACGAAATCGATGATTCGGAGTACATGTAAATTTATTCACCGATCCTTACTTTGTTTGTTAGTGATAATAATTTTTATTAAATCCGACCGAATAGTATTATCGAAAATGTTCCTACGTTCATTTTGTATCCATTGATCCCATCAAGCGTAAATTGATATTCTGAAAAATCATTGTCACTCGAAGGTACCTCGTGTCTTGTTGAATTACCAAAATTAATCTCATTTTATTTTACGAATTTATAAGATCCGATTGTACGATCATTACGAATACACGTTTCAAACTATTTTAGTGCCTAATGACGAATTAGCTTTATTTTATTGGGGATAATAAAATTTATAATGCAAGATCATAAAAATCCTCTTCGAGAACCCAAACTATATGTACAGTACACGGCTCGTTCAATTTTGCAGACACTCCCAAGGCCCCCTCTTGGTCCAATTCACTTTTCTTCCTTTTTCACTTCAGCTTCTTACCTTTTTAATTTCTTTTTCGTATTCTCCTTCCTGTCAAGGATTCCTTCTTAAAATTCATAACATTTTAATCCTGTTGGTCTGCCCGCTGTCTGAAAATGAAGTAAGAGGGTTGGCTCTGTACTCACGTCTTTTATCTTCCTTTTCCACCTATCTCTCTCTCTCCCATCCATTCCCCATTTCTCCTCTCTCTCTCTCTC